ATGTGCTTGACATACATTATATGCTGCGTAAGTGCTCTATCAGTGTGTGATTGTAAAAGCATATAAAAGCAGTTAATTAAGTGTGATGCTTCGTTCGCCTACCAGTAGCTATCAGACAGACAACTCGGTGTTTACAACCGTTCATAGAGCAATTTTTCTTGAAAGCAGAATGCTGAACACAAATAATTATCTATATTCTCGTTGTGAATGGGTGCAATTTTGACGTGTAGCAATTCTACAAAAGAGTCCCAAAACGAACCTCCTGTTGTACCTGTTAGAACCTCACCCGGTCATTCATCATCAGGTGCTCTTAATTTTTGTCTTAATTCGAAACGTATCCCTTCCATTGGTCTTTCCATTTCACGGCTCTGTGCATGCTTTTTTGTTTTGTTCGCATTTTTAACTCACTCTTGTTCATATCCTTTTTTAGAAGCCTTTATTAATGAGTGTAAAACTCAGTTCAAAGAATCAGTATTCACGAAGAAAAAATTCCGCTCTCTATCATTTTTTTCGTTCTGATAAAGGNTTTTTTTTTGAATGTGCTCACTTTGCAAAACATATGATTATTTCAATGGTGCGATTTTTTCGTTCACTGTTAAATCATCAAATCTTAAACTGATGTGAATGTCATCGTCGTTAGTCAGTTCCTGCTTGCTAAGTCACTTTATGTTCAACATTTTAAAAAATTTTCGGATACGTCAGAAGTCATTATCATGAAATCAATAAACTTTTTTGTAGTTATTGCAGACTAAGCACTCTTTTCCTAGCAGAGCTATCGTCATCAGATTTTCATGTGTCTAGGTTACACATTCACGCGATTCAACTATCTTTCCCAGTTCCAAGTTTCTTCATGAATATTCATGACATATGAATACTTAAAATAGAAAGAAGTGTTCTTTTCATCTTTTTTTGAACATGGCAATACATGATGTTGTATCCATAGTTAAAAAGCAATGTTGTAAACTTTAGAAAGCACACGATACTTCGAAATTCCTCTCATTTTCAACTCCAATATTGTTTAACAACAGGGGATTGGACTGTTTCAGGGGAAAATCTCATCGTGGAAAAATTTATTTCTGATGAGGCCTCTCAAAATACTATTGTTATGGTAGTTTCTTTCAATTAAGACTATGTTTTTGCATGAAATTTTCATTAATTGATTTCAATTTTTCATTTGTTACAGGTCACTGGGATTACTGCGATGACGGCGATTGTGGTACTGTGTTATTGAGCATTTTCTTCTTTTTCATCATTGATTTCCATGAATGTTGTGAATTTTTTTTTGATGCTGCGAATTTCGATGAGAATTTTTTAAATGTTAAAAAGTTTTATAACTGGTAGTAATAGATCGGTTGCTGAAAATTTTATAACTTTTACTGAAACGGTATACTTTTAGGACCGCGCCACTGGCCCAATGCTAATGGACTGAAACAATCACCAATCAATATCGACTTATGTTCAATTAAACCAAAATGTGATTGTGAACCATTCAAGTTTATTCATTACGCACATCCATTTAGCGGAGAAATCGTGAACAATGGACATTCAGGTTGCTTCATTTCGCTGAATGCATTTCTCTCCAGCCAGTTTAAAGTGTTTGTATGGGTGAAAAACAGTCGTTCCAGCTGAAATCAAATTTAACTGCTCAATTGAGCATTGTTCAAATTCGATCATTCGTAGCTGATAAAGTTATTACGTTTTTAAATTATTATCTGATCGAAAGTGACAGCGTCGATGGAGTTACAGAAAAAGTAACACAAATAAATATGAAGAATTCGATTGATTTTTTAGTGCGAAATTTGTTCATCATTTTTATAAATTTATTGTGAAAGAATACGAAAGTCATTCTTTATCGATATAAGCACTTAGGCATCTTTATCGTTGAATGCAGAGGATTACTCTCCATCAATTTGTTCACATTTCTAATGTACCATTATGAATAAATGACATGTTCGCTGAATGAAGTGTTCTGTGTGATCACGCCTATGTAATCGAAAGTGCTTAAACTCAGATTGCAATACAGCACTTTCATCAGCAAAAAACATCAGTACGCTATGTTTAACACAAAAAATTTGTAGTCCAAATAACGCCCAAGTTCATCTGCGATATTCCCGAAGTTTCGGGTGGAGGACTGGATCAAGCGTATCGTCTCGTACAATATCATTTTCATTGGTCGCAACAAGACAGCGAAGGTATGCAACATTAGTTGTCGGAAATATTGTTGATATAGTGTTTTCTTTTGATATTCTTCATCTATCGTTTTGATCGTCAAATTTACGCTTGTTCTTTGAACATTCGGTCTTGAACATTTCAGTGATGTTGTTCTCGATCCTTAGCAGTTATTATTTGCAGGATCCGAGCATACGATTGCTGGACTACACTATCCGGTGGAGTTGCATCTTGTTCATAAAGGTGTCACTGATCCAGAAAAAATAGCTGTTTTTGCTGTGTTCTTCATTCTTGGTGATGACAATCAAGCACTGAAGGTTGAGGCCGATCTTCTGAGCGAGATACTTGATCCATGTCCGTTGNTAACTCATAAATCAGTTTACGAAGTGAACCTTTTCATCGACAGCCAAACAAATCGCTTCCATCTATGCACTCATTCACTTTGTTTACTTACATATTTCGTTGCTGACCAACTAAAGTTGAAGAATTTCTTTATCCATATCCTTTTTCTTCACTGAAAACTCGCGGTTCCACTATGGTCCGGCATTCACTGCTCAGCATTCACATCTGCTTGAATTATTTGCTGTGGGAAATAAGAATCAGTTATCTTCCAAGGGATTCTGTTTTTTTGTGAAGTACCATTTTTCTTTCAAAGTGTTCATTTCACGAACGAGAAAGTTACGATACACTTCAAATCATCCAACCGTCCCAAAAGATGACAAAAGTTTTGAACACATCTATAAAGTCTGATTGTGTTCATGACTGCAAATGAATATTGGATCTGAATTGAATGGAACGAATTTCAGCAAATAGCACCAAAATCGAGCATGCAATTTTGTGAAGTACCATTTTTCTTTCAAAGTGTTCATTTCACGAACGAGAAAGTTACGATACACTTCAAATCATCCAATCATCCCAAAAGATGACAAAAGTTTTGAGCACATCTATAAAGTCTGATTGTGTTCATGACTGCAAATGAATATTGGATCTGAATTGAATGGAACGAATTTCAGCAAATAGCACCAAAATCGAGCATGCAATTGTTGAAAACAAATTGCCGCACAACAGAAAATCATTCTGGCGTTACGATGGTTCACTGACCACTCCACCATGCTCCGAATGTGTCACCTGGACTATTTTCACTGAACCTGTTCAAATCACCAAAGAACAAGTTGGATATTTTTAATCAGCATTTTTCATCAACTGTACAAACTCTTCATGCTGGAATCCTATCGTATAAATTCTTCGGTT